TCCTGGGAGCGGAGCTGGCCGTGGCGGCTGTGGCCTGCAGAGCAGAGTCCGGCCTCTTCCATCCAGCCTGGGACACCTCTGCCTGTGGCCACCCTCGGGACCTGGCTCCTGGCATGTGAGGCGGCGCTTCACTGGGGCTGCTGACCATGGACTAGACGAGCCTGTCTGCTTTGGGACGGGGTGTGCCTGGACAGTGGCCACTGCCCGGCTCCTCTGTGCCCCAGAACTTGGCCCCCTGCAGGGAAGCTGGTATCAGGTGTGGGGGTGATGGACAGCAACCCCACCAGCATCAGGACGCGGGAATGAATGAAAGAGGGGAAGGAGAGCTAGTGAAAAGAAGTTACAAGGTGCACCTCCTTCCCTGTGGCCCTTCCCACCCCACCCTCACACTCGACCCCCACCCCTGTCCACCCTGGAGCAGGCTCAGCTTGCACTGCTGGGGGGCATGGCACAAAAGATGGCACATTTGAGGTCCACTTCTCACAGGGACCCTGGGGATCTGCTTCCTCAAGGCCAAGGCCGAGCCCAGGTCGGGGCACTCTGTGGAGGGGCCAGTCCGTCAGTCCTTCCCTTGGAAATCAGAGCGAGGCCTGTGTGACCACAGGAAGAGAGAATGTCCTTCCCTCATTGACCTTGTCCACCCTGGGGACGGGACACACAAGATTTTGGGAGCGGTCAGGGTGCGTGCCTTGAGGTATATCCAAGGCTGTCAGCTTTCCCTGTGTAAGTCTGCATGTCCTTGTATGTGATGTGTCAGTGTCACTCGATGTGTCTGAGTGACCATGTATGTTGGTCAGCATCCTCTTTGGACATCAGTGTCAGGGTGTATCTGTGTCTTGTACTAGGTGAGAAGATACCTGTCTGTTAGTTTCCAGGGGGCTGGACACGGGGGGTGGAGTATGTCTGGACCTGGCAGATGTATGCTCAGGCTGCAGCATGTCTGGTTTCTGTAGGTTGGGGTCATGGTGTGTCTGAGATGCTGTGTTGGAGTGTGTTGCTATGGGTCTGGATGTTGGTGTCATTGTGTCTCTGTGTTTGTGTCTGTGTGTTCGGACTGCAGGGTTTGGTTTATGCCTCTGAGTTACTATTGATATCTGGCTGCTGCCTGCATACCTGTGTCAGGGCACGTGCTATGACCCATGATTCTTATGTCAGGGCACTGCCCTGTGGCAAACTATATGGGAGTCCCCAAAAGATATCCACATCAAATCCCTGGAACCACCCAGCTGGTGTGGCTCAGTGGTTGTGTCGACCTATGAACCAGGAGGTCATGGTTCAGTTCCCAGTCAGGGCACATGCCTAGTAGCGGCTCAATCCCCAGCGTGGGGCGTGCAGTAACCAGCTGATCAATGTCTCTCGTCGATATTTCTATCCCTCTCCTTTTCTCTCTCTAAGATCAATAAAAACATCTTTTTTTTAAAAAAATCTCTGGAGCCCTAACTGGTTTGGCTCAGTGGATAGAGCGTCGGCCTGCGGACTGAAAGGTCCCAGGTTCGATTCCGGTCAAAGGCATGTACCTTGGTTGTGGGCACATCCCCAGTAGGAGGTGTGCAGGAGGCAGCTGATCGATGTTTCTCTCTCATCGATGTTTCTAACTCTCTATCCCTCTCCCTTCCTCTCTCTAAAAAATCAGTAAAATATATTTAAAAAAATCTCTGGAACCTATGAATGGGACCTTATTTGGAAAAAAGGTCTTTGTAGATGTGATTAAGTTAAGGGTCTTGAGATGAGGTCATCTGGGTTATCCAGGTGGGCCCTAAATCCAGTGACAAGTGTCCTTGTCAGAGGGAGACGTGAGACTGACAGAAGGCGAAGTGACCGTGTAGTCCTGGACATAGTGGCGTGTCTCTGAACCCAGCAATCTCAGCAGCCACCAGAGCTGGGAAGGGTCCCCCCGCCAGCCCTGCGGGTCTCAGACCACGGCCTGCAGAACTGGGAGGGAATCAGTTTCTGTGGCGTGAAGTCTCTCAGCTGCCATTTGTACAGCAGCCCCCGGAGCCTAGCTCACCTTTGCTGGTGTGTCCAGGTGCAGTACCCGGTGGGAGCCCAGCCTCTGCTCTTGCTCCACCCCCTCCTTCCTGGGATAAACAGGTGCCTGCCAGGATGCCGCACTACTGCCACCTGGTGGCCATGGCAGGAGGCAGCTGGGCCGGGAAACCCCTGCTCTGGCTCAGGGCTGCCCCATCCCACAAGGCAGCTGACTGGACACCACACTGGGGCACTTGAGAACCAGGTTTATTTCTGGTCTTTTTATCAGAATATAAAAAAGTGAACGCAAAACAAGACAAGACGAGCTTGGAGGGCAAGACAAAGGAGGGAGAAGGGGGCAGAGATGGGAGGGCCCTCTGGAAAGGGCAACATTGCAATGACACAAAGTGGGGGACACTCAGGGCAGCCAGACAGGACGGGACTTTCCATGGGGGGCTGGGCACCAGGCCAGTTATCCAGATTCCACGTGGGACCTGAAACCAGCTCAGGGCACAGAGCAGGCTGGGGGCTCAGCCTCGTCTGCCAGAGGGTCTGAGTCCCCCAGAGGAGCGGCGAGCAGGGACCAGGAGGCAGGAGGCTCAGGACTGCCTGGCTGACCCCCTGCCGGCAGCCCCGCCCACCGCAGCCCTCTGGGAGTGCTTGTCACCACCGGCTGGGTCTCCAGTGGGCAGCATGGGATGTCTCTTATGAGAATCCAGATTTTCCCTGGAAAGGGACAGTGGGAATGCCCGCCCATCACTGTGCCTTCAGGGTGGTGCCATGAACCTGAGAGGAGGGAAGCTTTCCCAAATCTAAGGCCAGGATCAGGCCGCCCGTGCTGGTGTGGGTCCCTCCCTCTCATGCCACCTGCCTGTTCTGGTGTGGGTCCCTATCGTGCCCTGTTAGGTCCTAGGCTCTTGGGCAATCCTGAACCTCCCCCTCCTCAGTTCCCATGAGTAGATGCCGGCATGTGAGGGTCTCATAAAATAATGAGTGAAGGTGCTGGGCAGGGTGCTTGGCCGGTGGACACTGATGACCATAACCTGGACAGCAGGGTGGGCCTGCGGGCCTGGGCAAGGGCAGGGAGTGGGCACATAGTACACAGAGCCTGGCAGTGTATCCCACCTCTGTGGGTAGTCCTCCAGGTGCTGGGAGGGTGTGGAACTGGACGAGTGGCAGACAGCTCTCTTGTCCTGGGAGAGGACAGGATGCCCAGAGGATGTGAGTGAAGGAATATAAATAAACACTCCCTGGGAGCCTGGGGAAACATCCAAACCCCGCTCTGGCTCCAGGTGGTTGCCCCAAATGCTGCCAGCAGCACCAGGGTTTGGGCTTGGGTCCAGGTCCTGGGAGGTGAGCATATACTCAGGAAGCCCCCACCTGCCCAATCCCAGACATAGCCCACAGTGCACAACCAGAGGTGGCTGAGGTGACAATCCTGGTCCCACCTTCCTTTGGGCCAGGCTTGGCCCTTGGGGACTCCTGGAGGTCCGAGAAGGGCTGTGCCGCATCTTTGCCATGGGCTCTGGTCACAGTGCTGGGGTCTGGGGTTCAAGCCTCGGGCAGCAACTAGGACATGTGTCCGAAGGAAGCTATGGGTGGATGAGTAAGGCGGAATGGGGGCCGCTGGCGTTGTCCACACCACCGTGGGTGTAGGAGAGCCCTTATTGGGCTCCCATGGCCACGCTCCTGAGGTCCACCCACCCTCCCTGCACGCAAGAGTGGGGGACTTGCAACCCAACCCCCCAGACCTCTCTAAGCCTCTCAGGCATTCTTGGCTCCTCCCACTAACCTTGGCTAAGCAGCTGCAGGCTCCGCCCCTCCTCGCGCACCTGTAGGCGCAGCACCTGCTGCAGCACCTCCTGCCTTTGGGCCTCCTGTGTCAGTCCCATCCGCTGCAGCTTCTCCGCATTCAACCGAAGCAGTGCCCGGCCTGGAGGGGTGGGGAAAGGGATCGAGCCCAGGTCAATGTCCTGTGGAGATCCGGAGCGAAGGCAGAGAAAGAGCAGTGGGGAGGGGAGGCACAGACTCAAAGACAGGGAGAAGGAGAAACAGAGAGAAAGAGAAGGGGGAGAGAGAGAGAGGTGGCGGGGGGACAGAGACAGGTCAATTCAGAGAGACAGAGAAAGAGAGGGAGAGACAAGGATGGATAGAGACTTTGCAGAGAAAAGCCAGATGAAGAGACTGGGAGAGACAATGGGAGATTCTGCAGACACACAGGCCTGAAGGAGAGGCTGAGTCAGGAGAAGCCAGAAAGGAAAGGGTAGCAAGAGAAAACGGGCTCTCTTGGGATGTGGTCCCTCACCGGTGATGGCGTGCTGGGAGAAGGCCTCCACGTAGACGAGGTAGTTGTGGGGACAGTGCTTCTTGAGCCACTTGCAGACGTCCTGCTGACTCCACAGGACCACAGGCCTCGTCAGGCCACCCAGTGAGGGGCTCGTGTGGTACAGGCCGCAGTGGTCAGAGTACAGCCGGCCCTGTGGGGGAGAGGGCAGCAGATGCAGTGCAGCGGTGGGGAGGGCCGGGGCTGAATGGGGATGATAGCTGGGTACCTGGGGGGCCTCTGTGCCAGGCTGCTGCAGGAGCTTGACTGGCCGGCCACCAGCTGCCCTCTGGCTTCGTGAGTCATGCCAGGTGAGGCTGGTGCCTGGAGTCCTAGGCAAGTGGCAGGGGATGCTCTCAGCTGACATTGTGTGCTCCAGGAGGGTCCGGCAGAAGCTGAAGTGGGCAGTGGCTGTGGAGCAGGGCACTGGTCAGAGTGGTCAGGGGCAAAGCCAGTGGCTCCTGTCCTTGCTCAGCCCAACTCCCCTCCACTGAGGAAGGGGCCACTTTCCCAACTAGGGGTCCCCAAGCTCCTAAGGGCAGGAGGGAGCACCGTGAGCTGCCCTGAGAACCCCACCTCGCTCAAAGATGAAGGACGAACAAGTCCAACCCCCTTGCTCTGGGGAGCAGGACCAATTCTGCTGAGATTAGAGAGAAGATGTGCCCACCAAGGAGCCCAAGACTGACAGCCAGTAGGCCTGCCCTGGGACAGCCTGACCTCACCCTTGCCTCGGCACCAGCCACACCAGGCCAGGGCACACACAGAGGACCTGCCTGCGACACGCTGTGTGGTAGGAGGCCCTCGGGTGGCCTGCTTCCATCCTCATGGGCTGAACCCCAGCTCTGCACCTGGAGTTGAAGCTTTGCCCTGCCCAGCGGTGCTCACTAGGCGTGGCTCAGTGACAAGAAGCCTGAACTCGGGCAGCCAACACCCAGGATTCCTGCTCCCACCTCCCACGGCCCTGGCCCAGGATGGTTTCTTTGCATGGCGACTGCCTAGCTGGCATGGGCTGCTCAGTACAGGGTGCAGGTGCAACTCTGCTCAGGACCCTTGGAGATGTCTTTCCCACAATAAATTTATTACACCTGTCAACTCTTAGTTTTACCATAATTTCTGGGCTTGCTGTTGACATGAGTTGGGGAGGGCAGACACCTGGACAGGCCCCTCCCAAGGACTTGCACAGGCCCTGGCACACAGGAGGTGCCCAGAAACATTGTGAATGAATGAATGAATGAATGGAGGGAGGGAGGGAGGCTCTGGGTAATGTCCACAAGTCAACAGGCCCTGGGGCGGGGCAGAAAGCTGGGCCCAGGCTTGCCCTTCTTTACAGCATCCCCACTCTGACTCAGCAGGCAGGATCAGGTTCCCGAGACCCGCCACAGAGTGAGACCTTCCCTCCACCCCATGGAGGGGAGGGTTTGGCCGCGTGCCCAGGTCTCAGTAAGGGGGGGTGGCGCGGGGAGACGCATCTTCCTCCTCCTCCTCCCACCCTATTCCATTCACCGGCCTTAGCCCCTCCTCCTCCTCCTCCTCGCCCCCTCTGTTCTCAGATGGCCCTGGGGGACTCTAAACTTGAGGTCTAGGGTCAGCCTGTGTGGCCAGCGTGGCCGCCGCCTCGAGGGGCGCCGTGGGAAAGGACTTATTCTAAGCCGGCACCTTCTGGGGACCAGGCGCCAGGGCGGCCGGCCTGGCTGCTGATTCCAGGTCACGCCCTGTTACACTGTGCTGCCTGCCGTGTTTTATTTAAAAGGAAAACCTGCATAAGGAATGATGGCCTCCAGCTTATAAATGATTTCCA